TCCCTAGGATCGATCGGGGATCACCAGTGGACCTCTGACAGCATCCACTCGACGAGCTCCTGGAACTTCGCGACAGGTTCGTCGGAGTCGCTTTCGATCGCCGTGTCGTCCAGCACTGCACCATCTCGCCCGAGTGTAACCAGACCCGTTTGGTCGTCCGGTGCCAACAATCGTTTCCCGCCACAGGCTGTACCAACCACACCAGACATAACGACGCGTTTGCGACTGACAAGAGTCGCAGACGATAGATGCGGCTGTTTATGGTTGGTGAATGGCTATTTTTTTCTCACGAGGTTTGCCACGCATATGCCTCACCTGTTCCAGCTGGCAGATTACATTGACGGTGATTGGACGACTCCGTCCTATGCGGAAAGAGTGCGTCGTGGCACTGCGTCGCGCGTCAACGTTTTTACATGGCAATTTCGGTGCAGCGTTTCTATCCGGTGCAGCTCGGGTGCAGCGTTTCTATCCGGTGCATGGCAATTTCGCGTGCACTGGTCGGGCATCATGTGTACAAACAACAATTTTCCCAACACGATCAATAGTGATAGGAACGACTACATTACAATACAGGCCCCCGTTTTGCACTTTCATGCTTTCTTTCTAGATGAAGCCCTTACTAGGCCCTTAAGGACTTGTTGGTTGTGATCATGCAGCAAATATGACGACTTGTTTACATTTTAGGATTGTGTTGTACGCAAAGCAATACGACATTGTCTATGCGTGTACTGCCTTAAGTTTCAACAGGTCAATCACTATGGTTTGAAGTGACAAAATTGGATTATCCATTATTATCCTACGGGTTACTAGTTTAGAACATGAACTTATTAACTAGCCACACGTCCTCGCATGGCGCAGTCCGGACCAGCTCTACCGCCCGTAGGATACTGGTTACTGCAATGACACTATAGCGTTGCGACGAGTCAGCCCAAGTGAGAGTTGTGCACTTTGTAGCTATGTCTCTGGAGGGGGCTGAGTCATAGTACTTTATGAAAGCATATGGCACCAGCAATCTCCCAATGCGGACCTCAAACAGTATCAGCAACTTAGCATACCATTCGAGAGGCTCTGCATCGTCACCCTCCCCAACAACTGCGATGTTGGAGAACCATGGCCGACCATAGAACATCGGCGCAGCACGAACGTGATGAGGTAGGCGGCTAAATGCCGCATCGATTGCAGCTGGCATGGCCAGCCCGTTGTGGATCTGTGAGTGTAGTTATGTTGCAGGGGAAGGACGGGATAACGAGTATGTCAGAGAGAGAAGGAAGAGCGGTGAAAGAGGGATGAGATGCCACCATTTTGTATAGCAACAAAAGGGGGAAAGAGAGAGGAGGGGGATGAGGTGGTAGGTTCAAGGGATCATCTTACGTGGATGGTGTCGATGCTACCTCCAGAGCATCCAGGTGCCTCATTCAAAGCTCCCCGTAGGAAGCGAAGGTCCGCAGATAACGCCGTCAAGAACTCGCTATCTCGGTCAGCATCAGTTGTCAACGGCACCACGAAGGGTGCCACTAGCCGGTTGGCAGGGACCAACAGCCTCCAACTCTCTCGAGTCATCACCCTTTCACCCGTCCGTTGAGCCTGCAGGCATGATCGTGTATAATAGGAATGAGTGTTATATCTACGAGTTGGAAGGTGTACGACCAAGTCTGCTATGAATAAAGTAGGACTCACCTCAACCATGCACGTGTCGTAGGCTTTACGCTTGCCGAGAACTGGTGCAATGGAGTCCAGCCGCAGACGCATCACCTCACTATTCATGATCTGTGCAGTGGCCGTGCGTCGGTTCGATGCTCTGTAAGGGTTCTTGATGTACTCGATGTGCAGGTGCTCAAACATCTGTGTAGAGTAGTGCTCTGGCAAGCCAGCACGACGGATCGAGTCAATGTAGTGGCTAATCAGGTGCATCTTGATGAAGCGCCACTTTGACGTCTGTAGAGGAAAGGCTGATTTTAGGGTGAAAATCAACCTGCCATACAATGGTGATGGTGGGGGAAAATATGTTTGAGCAGAAAAGGCATTGGCTATAATCCCATAGTGGTAGTCTTACGTGTGCAACAACATATTGCATGCACGCGCTGCATAGTATAGTAACACATGGACATACCTTTCGGCCTTGTGCTTCAAATCACGCAGCGTCTCTGTCGTATGCTCACTGGCGCGGGCACAGTAGGTGTACCAGTCAATGTAAGTTGCAATCGCGTCCAACTGCGCCTGAGGGGCAGTCGACTCAAAGCCACGCACTAGAAAAGGAAGGACTTGCATGACACTCCTATGCTCATACGCCTGATAGCTGGCGCCTGAGGAGAAATACTCGCCCCCAGGCAGGCGCATGAATGGGTTGCGGTTGTGCTCCCGCAAGTAGGCCATTCTCTCGTCGGCCTCTTTTCTTTGGGCGATGGTGAGTTGTGTACGGAAAAAATCAATGATGTGCACAAGAATTCCCAAATCTGCCTGGTGCATGATATCAGGCATGACACTCAAATAAGGGTTCAAAATAGGAATAGATGACCAACGCCAACCCCACAGAAAACAATTCACCGGATGTGTTGACATGCTTGACACGCCTTTCGGAAACAACCGCATTTGCAAAAGCGAGGTAATGCCCTTTTGCATATGTGGAGTACGAGGGACAATGCGAGGCAATAGTTTGTTGGTCTCAGCAACAGGGACTGTGCACAACGAGCATGGGAAGCCTGTGGCCCCCGATTTTGTGCAAGTCACCTTGCACGACTCCGGATAGTCACATGCGTATGCGTACAAACCAGGCCACGCGTTGTACGTGGCACCAGTAGGGTCCTGGACCCTCACTCCGGTGTGTGAGGCCTTTCGCAATGGTTCCATGACCATTGAAAGGATGTGTTGGAAGACAATCAACTTGTCTAGCGAATCGTACTGAGGCGTGAATTCAGGTAGCAAAGCAAGCAGTACATGGCCCCATGGCTTCCAACGGTCATGCTTGTCGATGTTTCCTAGTGTCAGGTACACTGGATGACCCTTGGCCTTGCCTCTTTGGTCCATATGTGTCTCGTCGCTCGACAATATCAGAGCAACCACGACCCCGTCCGGGTCCACTTTTTTGACCTCATTGTGCAAAGTAAACCACCAATCCCCGGATTCGGGTGATGAGAACACATGTGTCTCACCGGGGATGCGCGAAGTGGGTTTAAGAACGATTTTGTCCGCATTCTTTGGATGTGTCAAAAGGTCAATCATCCCAATGACACCATCACAAAAAAAGAACTCTAAAGAAGCTTTTGACTGTACGCGCACAAGACCTCGTCTCCAGTTACGGTGAGGATCTGGGATGCGTTCATCGACGTATTTTTCAACGTCTCGCGCATTTCTGAAAACCACAACGTCGTCACTGAACTTTGAACCAAGGTTCAAGATGAGGAGCAACTTATCAATAGCACTTTTGGACAGATTGGAGGTAAGGAGGAAATGAGCGAATGCATCTGCAAAATTGAATGTGTCGCTCTCACCTACTGATGCCGCCCCACCATCCCCTACGCCATCAGCTTCAGCCCTCTCCTCTGTGTGGGTTTCGGGCTCAGGAATGGTGGGACTTGAATTAGGAGGAGGAGGTTGCGGGGTGTCAGGCATGGGTGCAGTTGCTGTGGGTATGTTCAACATAGGCCGTGGCGTGGTAGCTTGCGTGGTGCGTGGAAGTTGCATGGAGCGTGAAGATTCAGCGGTCGCAGAACGATTTGCGGAGGTGGCTCGGCACGTTTCGCCATTTTGATGGTTCGTGAGCGGACCCCTACCAGAGAACCCGGCAGCTCCGCACACTCCGCAATTGTAAGCCATCTGCTATAAGAAGAGATGGGAGGGTGGTGGTGAGGGGCGGGCGGAGGGGAGGTGAGGAGGGAGGAGTAATGAGAGACTGCTGAGGGTGGAAGGATCCCTGAACGAAGGAGCGGGGGGAGAAGGAGGCAGCTGAGTGCAAACAGCCAAGGGTATCAGGCAGAGGGAAGGCAGGGCGCTTACGAGGGCGGCACAAGCTTACGAGGGCGGCGGGTGTAAGAGATGGTGACAGGGGAAGGGTGGGAGACGGGGGAAACCGGGGGCGACGGGTGTATGAGAGGATGACAGGGAAAAGGGTGGGAGATGGATGGAAACATGGGCAAAGGGGGAAGGGGTGGGTGACGGGGAGAAACGAGGGCGACGGGGCAGGAGTAGGTGAAGAGGGCGGGGGTCAAGAAAAGGCGGGGGTCAAGAAAAGGCGGGTGGGGAAGGGGAGGGCGAGAGGGGAAAGCCAGAGGCGACGGGGGAAAGCGAGTGCGACGGGGGAAAGGGTGGGTGACGGGGGCAAACGAGAACGATGAGAGAAGGAGTGGGCGGCGGGGGAAAGTGAGAGAGACGGGGAAAGGAGTGGGCGGCGGGGGAGAGCGAGAGAGACGGGGGAAAGCAATGACGACGGGGGAAAGCGAGGGCGACGGGGGAAGCAAGGACGACGGGGGAAAGCCAAAGGCGACGGGGGAAAGCGAGGGCGACGGGGGAAGGAGTGGGTGACGGGGGCAAACGAGAACGACGGGAGAAGGAGTGGGCGGCGGGGGAAAGCGAGAGGACGGGGAAAGGAGTGGGCGGCGGGGGAGAGTGAGAGAGACGAGGGAAATCAATGACGACGGGCGAAAGCGAGTGCGACGGGGGAAAGCGTGTGCGACGGGGGAAAGAGTGGGTGACGGGGGCAAACGAGAACAACGAGAGAAGGAGTGGGCGGCGGGGGAAAGCGAGAGAGACGGGGAAAGGAGTGGGCGGCGGGGGAGAGCGAGAGAGACGGGGGAAAGCAATGACGACGGGGGAAAGCGAGGGCGACGGGGGAAGCAAGGACGACGGGGGAAAGCCAAAGGCGACGGGGGAAAGCGAGGGCGACGGGGGAAGGAGTGGGTGACGGGGGCAAACGAGAACGACGGGAGAAGGAGTGGGCGGCGGGGGAAAGCGAGAGGACGGGGAAAGGAGTGGGCGGCGGGGGAGAGTGAGAGAGACGAGGGAAATCAATGACGACGGGCGAAAGCGAGTGCGACGGGGGAAAGCGTGTGCGACGGGGGAAAGAGTGGGTGACGGGGGCAAACGAGAACAACGAGAGAAGGAGTGGGCGGCGGGGGAAAGCGAGAGAGACGGGGAAAGGAGTGGGCGGCGGGGGAGAGCGAGAGAGACGGGGGAAAGCAATGACGACGGGGGAAAGCGAGGGCGACGGGGGAAGCAAGGACGACGGGGGAAAGCCAAAGGCGACGGGGGAAAGCGAGGGCGACGGGGGAAGGAGTGGGTGACGGGGGCAAACGAGAACGACGGGAGAAGGAGTGGGCGGCGGGGGAAAGCGAGAGGACGGGGAAAGGAGTGGGCGGCGGGGGAGAGTGAGAGAGACGAGGGAAATCAATGACGACGGGCGAAAGCGAGTGCGACGGGGGAAAGCGTGTGCGACGGGGGAAAGAGTGGGTGACGGGGGCAAACGAGAACAACGAGAGAAGGAGTGGGCGGCGGGGGAAAGCGAGAGAGACGGGGAAAGGAGTGGGCGGCGGGGGAGAGCGAGAGAGACGGGGGAAAGCAATGACGACGGGGGAAAGCGAGGGCGACGGGGGAAGCAAGGACGACGGGGGAAAGCCAAAGGCGACGGGGGAAAGCGAGGGCGACGGGGGAAAGAGTGGGTGACGGGGGCAAACGAGAACGACGGGAGAAGGAGTGGGCGGCGGGGGAAAGCGAGAGGACGGGGAAAGGAGTGGGCGGCGGGGGAGAGTGAGAGAGACGAGGGAAATCAATGACGACGGGCGAAAGCGAGTGCGACGGGGGAAAGCGTGTGCGACGGGGGAAAGAGTGGGTGACGGGGGCAAACGAGAACAACGAGAGAAGGAGTGGGCGGCGGGGGAAAGCGAGAGAGACGGGGAAAGGAGTGGGCGGCGGGGGAGAGCGAGAGAGACGGGGGAAAGCAATGACGACGGGGGAAAGCGAGGGCGACGGGGGAAGCAAGGACGACGGGGGAAAGCCAAAGGCGACGGGGGAAAGCGAGTGCGACGGGGGAAAGAGTGGATGACGGGGGCAAACGAGAACGACGGGAGAAGGAGAGGGCGGCGGGGGAAAGCGAGGGTGACGGCGGAAAGAGAGTGAGCGACGGGGGAAGGAGTGGGTGTCGGGGGCAAGCGACAACGACGAGAGAAGACGTGGGCGGCGGACAAAAGCGAGGGCGAGGGTGTAGCTACAAATCACACCTTGGGAGATCACCGTGACTTCAAGGCAACCTTGCCGCCGAGTCGCAATAATCTCGCGGTTTAGCCCCCAACAGGGGTCGCTAGTGAAGCCTCTCCCAAAGTTCAACCCTTAAATCGCAGGTAACCGCACGGATTTGTCGCGCAAGGAAAATGCTATGGTTTGTCGGGCAAGGAATTTTCGAGTTTGGGAAAAAGCACGAATTTGGAATTTGGAATTCCAGACACAACACGTCGAGCAGAACAGAGGATGGAGTTCATTTCCCCCTTAAGCAGAACTGTCGAGAGTTTTGGGGCCAAGGCTGGGAGTCGCTGGGGCGTAAAAATCTGCCCGTTTCCCGAAAGGCTGAGACCAAAAACAGCGTTTATAAATACGGTTACAAACCGAAACGCCCCCTTGCTAAGATCTGACACATGGTGCCGTTAAAATATCAGCCACTTAATACAGTGGCAGGATGGGTTATCAGATCGCAGGGAAATGCAAACATCACTTCAGTTCGCAATGAAACACTTTAAGCTAGACATCACTTTAGGCATACGGACTACCCACTCGAAACCTACCCGTGAACACTTCAAACCGACCCGCGACCAAAAATGAATGTTACAAAGCGACACGGCTGGTCAAACGCGGGTGAACGAGTGGGAATGCGCCAAATCACCAAAATGCGAATTAGCGCGACTCGCAAAAAAACACGCAGCGATACAAAACTGCATTGACTAAATTGTGGCGGGAAACACACGTGTCAACCAACGTAATCAACCTGGTCGTGTAAGACAAAACCAACGGACGCGCTACATAGTAACATACTGCATGCACAGTATAACAACCAGAATAGTAAAATCACTATAACTGTCCCATACAATACCACAATAACACATGCACAACCCTAATTGGCGTGCCTGTACATGACAATTAAGCAAAATTGTCCGTCGTCATGTGTATACATATACATACAATCACAAAGAATACTTCGGATTTTTACATAGCAAATCGACTGTTAAATCGGGAATCTAACATACAATAATCGCACCGTACCAATTTCAAAAATGTAAACAACAAACTCTAACACGTATGACGAAAATCAAAGCGTAGCGTCTGGAATTTTAAAACGATTCACCTTCCTTGCCAGTCACGTAGCATAAGCTAATGTAAAGCAAAAAACCTGCACACACTGTAAACGAGCCAAACAATATCAGAAATACTACAGAGGGGAAAAAACGCGATGTACCAACACTACAGGAAGGCAAATGCCACCTGCAACGAAAAAGGAAACCAGTAACCAGATCGCGACTGCCGTGTCTGCAAATCAGAACCGGCCAGAATAGGCAAACAGTGGCAAAGTTACGAAGGGAGAGTACGTGGCACAATTTACGGCTGCATCTCATCCAAACCAGCTCGACACAGACCAAACCCTAAACTCTCGAACCTCGGCCGTTCCAGTCAGCCCGTTAAATGGTTGAAAAAAACAGAAAATAAACGATCAGTCGTCAGTTTCGATCATTTCGAGTTCCACCGACACATCTAGCAGGAAACCTATGTTTCCATTTGCCCCCCCCCCTCAGAGTGCTCAGGGGCAAAACCCTTGGGCCTGTGTTTGGCTGACAAGGGATTTTTCCGATGAGGTGACCTCGCCGATTGCGGACTCCGCTGCAACATCGCATAGTCCTCGGCGTGGTGCGCCATGCAGGGAATGGAAGCAGAGGAGCTTCCTTTGGGCCTGACCGCCGACTCAAGAGGCATTCGGGTCTTGGGTAGCCCGATCGGCAGCAGGGAGTTCTGCACCGGCCAAGTGAGAGCTTCGCTTGAGGATGCAGCGTCACCACTCCACCTCATCAACCAGCTCCACCCTCAGGCGGCCCTTCTGATTCTCTCTCGCAGCATCTCCCGCCGCATCTCTTACCTGCTGCGGACGACACCTGCAACGGCACTGAGCTTGGAGGAGTGGAGGGATTGGAGTGAGGCATTGGTGGGCTCGGCCCTTGCGGCAGCAAAGCTAAACATCCCAACGTCGGAACTGGAGCAGAGCCTCCTGTGGCGCCAGGTGACTCTACCCATCCGGCTCGGCGGCTTGGGAATCATTGACCCCATATCGGAGGCACCCGCGGCACACATCGCCTCGGTGGCAGCTGCACACACCCTTCTGCAGCAACTGGACCTGCCCTTAGACTGCCTGTACACAGGGCCATCACGCTGCTGGCCCATGACTGGACCCCCCCTCCCCAAGATTTCAACCCACTGACAGCCTTACATCGGAACCTATACCTGTGTGTCAAACAGCATGCCATCCAGTGGCTTGATGTTTGATAGGCATCGCTGGGAGTTTTTTTGCAATGCCTGGGATTGGCGTGTTGCAATACACACTTACAGCGTGTCACCTGCAGGTTGATTTCGACATTCCACGCGGCATCATTCCCAACCCCAGGTTTCACTCCACAATCGAACTCGGCATTTCCCAAAGCGCGCAACTACTGTACATAGCCGATTGCGTGATAAGAGTTCGGTACGTTTTTTTTTCCAGATCGAGATTTTCGGGTTGTTCTCAAACAATTGTGAATGATTCGAGGTGTGACTATTCTTCATAGAGGGACTCGTCATTGTAGCATAGCACCCCACTTCACAGATTTTGAATTAACATCGCTAAAACATTGTGCTGTTACGCAAACCGAAGTTTGTTCACAACGGATCACTTCGCGACCGAAGCGGCGATACTGTAGCTCAGGGGTTACTCATTTCTTGTTACTGTTACATCCGTAACCCGTGTCACCAAGGTACAGTTCAATGTATGTTACAAAATCGAAGTTACCTTTAACTTGTAACCCTAGTTACTAGAGTACACTTAAAACCAGTAACATGTAAGATATAAATTCTAGGGCGTACAATTTTAAATGCGTTCCGGGGACCTAAATAGCGGAATATGAATATTTTCGTAATAAAACCTGTAATTATAAAAACACGCATAAATAAAAATGCAATGCATACAAAATCCATTTTCAGGATTCATCTTCAGAATCCTCGTCTACCACCTCATCTTCATCTAACTCATCCTCTGCATCCTCATCCCCCAGGACATCAGCATCCAGAGCCTCCTGGGGGATGGTCACCCAATGCGCCAAACAGATGCGCCCTATGCCTATGAAGTCACCTTCAGTCCGGCCCATGCTGTTGATATAGCGCTGCACAATGCGCGCTTGTCTGGAGATGGCGCGAGTGTCACCAGAGCGACCAAGCTGAAGCTTGTTGCAAGTGGGGTGACGTAGCTTAAAACGGACCTGAACACATTCAACAACACAACGAGCCTGTAAGACAGAACATAGAGAAGAAAATTTTGCATTACAGAGGGTTTAAGACTCACAACTGCCAGAATCAATAGGAGCTGTGCCGCATAGATCCCAAGTGGGCGGTCTGGGTCTTCCTCTGTCACAAACAGGCGCGCACACGCCATGAACGCTGGGCTGGAAAAAGGGTGGCCATTAAGCAGGTGCCACTCTATGCCCTTCAGCCCTGTGACAAGCCACAAAGCAAAGAACGGGCAATAATGACAGAGTAAGTACGGTACAGGCTGCTTTATTATGTCACTGTTTAAAAAACTCAACATTTATGTTGAGTTGCTGAAAACAAGACGAAAGAAATTTACAAAGGTAAACACGGGTAAAGACTTACTGCTGCCATACACAGCCACGTAAGCATGGCATCGGGCGGCGAAATCGTCTGGCTCCACAGCTCGGATGGTGCCATTCGGAGCACGCTTAATGGCGAACAGCCGCGCGCCCCGTACCAACCGCAAGCTCCTCCTGCAACCTCCGTAGATCTTACCAATGCGGTTGTTGAACCGCTTCTCTGTCTTTTTGACGATGTCTTTGTCTTTCATGTGCGCCACCAGCCTCGAAGCCTCATCGCTGCCCCATGTGAAACCTGCATGTGCTGTGCGAAGTAAAAGAACGGGCGGCAGTCAGAAACATAAATAGGAGCAATAGCAGAAGAAACACGACTCGTCTGCTTACCGACTAAACGTTCAACAACATCACTCCTCTTCGGCGCCATGTTCATGTGGTCGCCGTCGAAGAGGAAATCGTTGACGGTTTCCGACATCATTCTCTGCAATAGCAACAGAAAACACCCGTCAGGGTATAAACCGGAGTGAACAGAAGACACCCATCAGTTTAAAACGAAAGCGTGTCAAAGAAACTCACCTCGAAATCTAGGCTGACAATCTTCTGCAGGAGCACAGCATCAGCGAGAGATCCGGCGATGCCAAGAGCCTTCAGGATCTGCACGTCCTTGGTCTTGCAGTCGGTCTGCAGCAACTCGACATGCTCGCGAGCAATGGCGGCCTGCGCACGAAGGCTCTGATTGACCTTGTTTGGGCGCGATTCGGTATGAAACACATCGGCCTCTGGACTGGGATTAACGCCCGCCTGCTTCATGGTACGGGCATAGAGGGTGAGGCCTGCATGGCACGGAGGAACAGAGGTAAGTATACGGTATAGTTGGGCACACGACCAGAATGCGCGTCAAAGCTTACCACGTTGGCCGTTCCCCTGAAGCGGTTGCGCGATTACGTCCCCGAAGAGCTCGCCCTCTTCTTCCTCCTCAGCATCCGCAGTGGCAGTAGCTGCACCCACCGCGGTAGGATCACGGTCGGCATCGGCAGAAGCAGGATCGGCAGCGGCAGGAGCAGGATCGGCAGCCGCAGGAGCAAGATGGGCAGCGGCAGGAGCAGGATCGGCAGCGGCAGGCGCATGATAGGCAGCGGCATGAGCAGAAATGGCAGCGCCTGGAACAGGATCGGTAGTGGTAGTCGGTGATGCGGCGGCAGCACTAGACTTTCCCAAGACCGCAGCACGTTTGACACCGTGGGCTCGCTCGCCTTGACGGTTGGAGCCGCGCTTGCGAGATCGAGCGCCAGTCATGGCTGCGTCGAGAGTATCACCGTCTGGGAAAGAAGAACAAGGTAGTTAAAACACAGCAGTTGATACAAGGTGACCATAAAATAAAAAGCACAAACCAAAGAGAGCGCTTACCTTTGTTAGCTGGAAAAAAAGCATGATTGTCCTTGCTCTTGCGCGGAATGGAAGTCCGTAACGGTTCCGCCATCTGCATACTAGCGGGAACGCTGAATGAACGAGCACGGCCCATTATTAGCTACTGAAAGCTATAAGTACTAAATCGCTAGAGATGGAGTACCTGATGGCAACACTCCAGCAACAAAGGCTATTTATACGACAAGCTCTTAGGAGATACGCCGGGAACATCATCTCTTACCTTGCCTACGCATCGCGACGAGATACGGTGAGGGCCTGCTTGATGCCCCGATTGATGCCAATAACGATGTGTGGCGGTAACGAGGGGGATGGGTGAGGGAGATTGAAGTGGTGGAAGGAGGGTGGGGTTTGAAGTTTGAAATTTCAAACTTCA